TTTGGCTAAACTGGTGCCCAGATTTAGGTTTACATTATGCGAAAATACTGTGGTATGTATTTTATTATGTTTGATTAATTGGTATTTATTATGTTCGTTCTTGGTTTACTGTTATTTAAATGTGATAATTAATTTTGTGTCATTTGTCCATTAATTTATAGCTCGATTATATCGTCGGTAATGCAATCTTCGCCCCCAAAGAAATGATATTGGGTTTAGAAAAACGACATTAATGTTGATTTTTATAGTAATTACTAATTAATTAAATAATTATTATATCATTATCTATTTTGTATTATTATTTTAATTTAAAACAAATAAATTGTAATTTTTATAAATAAATAATAAATTATATTTTATTTAGAAACTATCTATCTATAGGACAGGCCTTTTTATCGGATGACATACGTATAGATCCGGTCAGACCTGTGCGCCGGTGATGTTAGGTTAGGTTAGCTTTCGGTTTAAACAATATTCAATATTTGATACTTTAATCAAAACAAATGTGAAGGACAGGTTAACTTTATAACAGATATTAGGTTTAATTATACTATTATGTGATTAATAATAAGAAAGCTTATTAATTAATAATTTTATAGGCAATTTAATTATTTAAAATAATATATTTTGCAATTAATTCTGAAATTACAACAAATGTTGCGATAATTAAAGCGGAGACTAAAAGCGAGAAAACGCCCCTCAAGTCAGTGATGTTTACGGAAGGGATAACTAGTGTTGGCTTCGGTTGGTCTGTGATGTCGGCCTCATATCCATTGGGTTTCAGCGATCGCTTCACTTCATTGTCATAGACACCGCTCTCTTGAAGACCACATAATCTGTTCATACAATTAATACAACTATTAGAATGCATTCAAATATAATGTTCCCAAATATACAAACATTTTATCAAAATTGTTGGTAAAATTCTGATCTAATGTTTGAGCATTAATTCCCATTTTGTAAAGCATTGTATTGTTGGACGAATCGGACACATATAGCCCGACACCAGCCATACCTCCAGACATATACCCGTCGTAATAGTGTTTATATAACTCATGCATTGGTAAACGGGGAAAGTATTTCAGGACTGTATTAAGCATATAATAAGCACCAAACTTGGGTACAGCCAATACGTGCTTCTCTTCCAATACGGTTAACACAATCTGTTTCATTGAATTGACATTTATTAACATTTAGTAATTGTTATTAAATAATTAAATATCTAGATCAGTAAAGCCCACTCGGGCAAATATTCGGGCAAATCTGTATTATCATTTATGTACAACATGATATTCCCTAATACAGTACATTCATATATCAGAATATAATGATTGTACAACATCTACGTTGACCTAAAACATGTCTTTGGACCTTCCTGATCTAGATATTTATAAATAGACTGTTAAAATGCAAATTTAAATAATTTAGGGCTTTATTTAACAATTATAAGAACCATTTTGTTGACATATAGGAAATGCATGTTTTGGTTTGAAATTATTTAAAATGGATTATGAATCGGTAGAGAAGGGAAGAAATTATTTTTAATTAAACGTGGTTATTAAATCATAACGGTACTTACCACCTGTCAGTCATCTATTATTCACTATTAACGTTACTATTTTTACAACAGACATCTGCTCTATGATTAATTTTTTAATTCAACATTTAACTTACCATCATTCATTCATTTGAATTACTACATTCATTGTATTTTAATTATTATAACCATTACAATATTATGACCCCTTATTAAAATTAATATAAAGTAGCTGCCGTTGCATGAGATAAATATAATGAGGGTTTTTTTTATAGAGAAGTACTGTATTAGCATTACGTTTAATTGAATCAATGGGTCGGTTGCGGTCTCTAACCATCCGTAAGCTTTGATGCGTTCAATCAAACTGGCGGTCATTTCGTTATCATTGCTAACAATGTATTCAATGACATCCGAGTTATAGAGCCATATCTGGCTATCCTTATAATTCGGATCAGTATATAATTGGTATTTGTTTTCCAACTTATGGTACGACTGACCCCTCATAAGAGTGTCGTACAAATCGCCCGAATATAGCGATAATAATAGCGTACAAACCAATAGCCAAATGCCGGCAAACATGCGATCAATACATGTCTCAACTATTTTCAAATGGAAAGTATCGGAGAGAATGACCGCCGAAAATGTCCAAATGGTTTGTAGACATCGAGTGACCGATCGATACCTCAGACCAAACATCACTCCAATTGATATCAAAGACAATACGACTGAAAGATATATAATACTATCCCAACAGTCGATGAATTCAAAGGCAGAGCGCGGCTCTTATATGACAAATGAAAGAATTAGTTAATTAAATATTTTCTATACAGATAAAGTGTTAATTAACTCAAAACCATTTTACTGATCAACACGTCTGCGTCCATGTTATCGACAAAACGTGATAAATTGATGTCTCCGTAAGGCAGTAGTGGTCTAACAAAGGGTGAGAGCGGAAAGAGTATAATATCCCACAACTTGTTTTCCTCCCATCGTTTCATCGAATCGATGGCCGCGTCTTCGCTGTCCATCAGTCGCTTAAACACAACACTTGACGCAAATTATAATGTATTACAGATTACATTAATAAAACAAATACAAACATATTTATTTTTCACGCGAGTGTATTATGTATTTATAAATAATTTCAAATTAAAATTAATATTTAGATTAAAATAAAAAATTAATAACTAAATTCTAACTTATAAGCATTAATATTGATATACGATCCTATAAACCACATTATTAATAGTTAAATTGTGGTTAAAAATTGTCTTAAACAACAAATTTCAAAAATATAAAGGGTTTAAAATAATGTGATTTATATCTGACCTTAATCATTTCTCATACATATCTATGGAATCTCACGGAAAAATTTATTAAAAATGAATTAATAAGGGAACTTGGGAAAATGAACATGGAAACACTATCTATACATTACAATGAATGGTACTGTAGTATAAAGTTTATACTATAAACTATCGTTGTTTTACCTGTTAGTTTCACTGCATAGCATCACTGTTTGGGGGCCTATGACATTTGCTCGAAAGTCACTTGCTCAAAGGAAACTTGTTAGAAAATCACTTGCTCAAAAGTCACTTGCCCGAAACCCACTTGTTCAAAACCCACACGCTCTATACCCACTTGCTTAAAAATCATTTGCTCGAAAGACACTTGCTCGAAATTTTATCAATGCCATTTTTAATGTTATAATTAATATAAAAAGTGTCCATAGCCCAAGTGACTTTCGAGCAAATGTCATAGGCCCCCAAACAGTGATGCTATGCAGTGAAACTAACAGGTAAAACAACGATACTATAAACTAACATAAGTTATAATACAATTTTAGATCATGGGCTAAATTTTGGAATTACTCATTCCACTTAAAAAGTATTATATCCTTAACAACAATGAAGTCTTTGTTTAGTGAAGTATTTGTCTTAATTTACATTTAAAATATATATTGGCATAACTGATATATCTTAATCTTTCGATATTTCTAATATAGGTAGAAATGTAAAATTAATTTTGTAATTTAGGTTAACATTCCTAAGCACCAGAAACCAAGTTTCATAAAGACAGGATGATTGTTATTTATACTGGAAATTTTTAAATGAAATCAGGCAGAATAATGTATACCTATGGGAAGGGGGCTGTTTTTGTGATTACCGACGGTTGAAATGATGAATTAATTGATCATAATCAAACAATAATAGATATCAGAAAACCCTTACTCTTCCAATATTGTCAATATCTAATGTATACATCCATATAATATTCAATGATTAACTCTGACCGGTGCCTGAACTGTGGCCACTTCATTATCGGTAGTCGACCCGATTGGCGGCCTGTGTTCGGTCGGTTCGCAGTTGATTCCCGTTATAAATAATGTTGTGATAACTGCTCTAAACTGTTGTCGGATAACCGATTGTGAACACCAATATCTAAATAATACCTCCAAACATGTCTATTGTAAAAATATTTTCACTTTAAAAATGAGATCATTTTTAGCAAAATATTTTGTTGTAAATTTTCCAAAATAATTCCGACCGATAAACTTTGAAAAATGCCTATTCTTAAACTATTCATCCGATCTTGATGAAACTTGGAATCTGGTGCCTAGAGACGCCAACTTAAATTATAAAATTAATTTCACATTTCTACCTACATTATAAATATCGAAAGACTAAGATATATCGATTGACCCAATATAACGTAATATTTATAAATATTTACTTTCTGTTGACATATTTGGCCACAGTTTGTATCAATACTATAAATGGACCGCAATATCGATAGTATGAGAGATGTGTTGTCATCGATATCTACTTCCCATTCCTTATATGTCATTAGCGGCGGCCAAATGCCGTTCATTATAGACAGCGGTCTGTCGACGGCATTAGTGACCCAATCGGTAGTGTTTTGACCTGAGTTTAAAGTAATACATCGAACATTATTAATAAAGTTTTCCATTATTAAATAAGTTTATAAATTTATTAAAATTGTAAATGTCATATCCAAGAAAATGCCAAAAGTTAAATTTCTATTTTTAAAATGATATAAACATTATTTAAATGTGTACTGTATTACACAAACTACTGTACAGTATATGCAATACTCAATTAATACATTTTTTACATAATTAAAAATTCTTTCGTAATATTTTTAATGGTTTTTTTAATAGAAAAATATTATTTGATTATTATTTAATATTACTTAATAGCATATAATTGGATGGTACAGTATATTTTATCAATGCGGAAATGGCAATTAAAATACAATTTTATTGACAATAATGAAAATTTCTAAATATACTATTTTGTATTGTACTAGATGTTATTTTTATGGCGAGTAATAATAGCTTTACACCGTGATGGCACTTAATAAAACACAATAACCCTTAATTATCATAATCCCAGCCTTCATAAGCTCCCTGATGGACATGGCGTATGTCACTGATAGTACAGATATTACTCTATAATCACTACATTTGACACTCATTTCAATCAAACAGATATTTTATTTCATTTGTTTAATTAATTGAATTAATGTCCAAATAATCATTGAAAAAACATGTAATCAGTAAATTTATAAATTAACACAAAATTATATAATTAAATGAAATAGTGATGAAAAAATAATCAACACATGAATAAAAAAAGCGATTAAAACGATTAGTAAAACAATATAATAAAAAGTTTGGTTCTAAAAGACAATTAAAATGTAATATGTTTTGTATTAAAAAAAAAAAATAGTGATGAAAAAATAATCAACACATGAATAAAAAAAGCGATTAAAACGATTAGTAAAACAATATAATAAAAAGTTTGGTTCTAAAAGACAATTAAAATGTAATATGTTTTGTATTAAAAAAAAACAATAAATGCTAAACAATTAAAACAATGAAATCATTGCTTAATTCATAGAATAATTAAAATTAAACACACATTGAAAAAAAAACATTTCAAACGATAATTATTAAATTAAATCAAAATTACAGCAATTGAATAAAACATTACAAATAAATGACACAAATTCAAATAATGCGGACAATACCCTGGATCAATCACACCATGCATTTTACCAGTTCCTTGCACTCCACGAATGCGTTGAACAAAACCAACCCTTCGGGTCCTAAGACAGGCCTAAACGGGTCGTCGGCCCGAAAAGTGACCGCAACTTCATTCGTGAAATTGGCTTTCATTTCATTCAAAACCGATTCGGGAATTAACGGACACTTTTGTAGTTCCATAAGAAGTCCCTTCAGAAACATTGTCCGCTGCGGATGACAGCCGTCGTACACCACATCCAAATCGGTCAACACTTTCCGCAAATAATCCATGAATTGTGTGCCGAAACTGAAGACGTAAAGCGGTAACGGCTCGAAGGGTATGAGACGCCGGTAATCGACCCGACGGTCCAAATGGTGGACACATTTGTCGCACTCGCAGTCAATTGACCACTGTTTTAGCTCTTTGTGTCGGTCCGCGCGGTTTTGACCCAACGATACGAGACTTATAGTGATCTCTTCGCCGGCGGCTATCGGTCTCATTGCCCGTAATTGTATCGATAGGTCTCCTAATGAATGGTTAGAAAAAATTATTATAAAATTATGTTAAAATACAAATTAAAACAAAACCATTAAAGTTAGTAATGAGTGCACTGTTGGGACGGCAGCTGTGCTCCAGCACTATGTTCAGAGCGTAAAGCGCGCGACCGATAAACTTAATGGATTGCTCGTCACCCGAATGTATGGCCACATAAGGGACGGTGAATACCAGTGCCAACCAATGCAGCACTTCTTTGGGCTCGTAATCCATACGCAATGCCTCGAAGAGAATACCAATCCCTTTGAAAAGTTCCCGTTTATACGAGTCGTCCAAATCATAACCATTCACTTTGATGTCATTGAGACTGACATCCGATCCGTCAAAGAATCGGTGCTTTTTTGTGGCAAAGTTTGGCACCTTTTTCACTGATAGGTAGAGTCGGAGCCAAAGTCGGGCCAAATTGTCGTCAATAAACATTTGGACCATTGGGTGGCCATAGAGTGGACACTCATTCTTGTGATACTTCCAGTCATTCTTCTGACACTCTTTACCGCAATAATACGTGAGAAGACATTTCGTACATCTCTTCAATTGATCCGATTGTTTGAAACAATTGTCACAATATTTGTCTTTGAGTTGAAAATCCAGGACATGAATGATAGGCATGTCTTCGGTTATCACATCTCCCGGTGATAACGGTTTCGACAGTTTTGGTGACATTTCTGGCCATAGATTTCATAACAAATAAAAAACACGTGTTTTTAATGCAAATCATTACACTTACCACTGATTGTATGATTAGATCCAATTGTGAGACAAAGTCTTGTGTTGGAAGCGATGGACTTATGGTATGAAAGAGTTGTCCGTAAAGTGTCTCTCAGTTTATGGACTGATCTGTGGATTAATGTATGAAAAGTGAGACCAAGTGTTGACTCAAACCAATCATCACTTGATTTGTGTCCAAAACTAATGGCTTATTATTGGCTATAATTTGAGCGCAAATTTCAAAAATATATGTATTTTACAAAATTTTAATCAAAATATGATTTAATCATTAAATTCGTTGATTTTATTACAAATAAACACATTTACGGCAAAATAATAAACAACACTCTTATGACTGGATTCGCTGTTCAGACAATTGGTCCGAAAGCAAACTCTTCAGTGACTGATCGATGAGAGGGCAGTCTTGCAGTTGTGTCACAGCAATAGCTTTCGACAAACTGACCATCAGTTCCTTGAGAACACATTTGGGAATTACGGGACAATTGTATAATTGGGTTACAATTGTGGACAATATAATAGTCTTCTTCGGATAGTATTGACCGAAAACGAGATCCAATTCGTCCAACACTTCGCGCAAATAATCAGTCAATTGTTGGCCGGAAGTGAAGACACGGAGTGGGAAGAGGTCTGTCGTCCGCAGGCGTTGGTAATCGACGCGACGGTCCAAATGGTGGACACATTTGTCGCACTCACACACTATTGAACACTGTTTGAGCGCATTGTGTCTGTCGTCGCGGCTTTGGTCCAAATCAACTAAACTAACGGTAATGTCTTCGCCGGCGGCGATCGGTCTCATTGCCCGCATTTTTAGCGACAGTCCTATCATTGGAAGTGTTTGTAAATGATAATTGAAATTATGCTTAACTTCAAACTCATAGCATATATACAAACCGTTGAGATTAATAATGGCAGAGCTGTTGGGACGGCAGCTGTGCTTCAGAAACAAGTGCTGGACGTAAAGCCCGCGACCAATGAGGGCAACGGTTCCCGTCTGCGGATCGTATGCTTTAATGTCATCCTTAATGACTGTAAACACGACGGCTAACCAATGGTGCACTTCTTCTCGAGTGAAATCTATGCCCACTTGTCTTAAGACGAGACACATTGCAGACAAATAATAATTGATCCCATCTTTGGTCATATGATTGGTATTGACTTTAATATCTCTGAGACTGACTTCCGATCCGTCAAACAATCGGTGCTTTTCTGTCGCAAAGTTTGGGATCTTTTTGACTGATATGTAGAGTCGGAACCAAAACCGCATCCAATAGTCTTCTATCAACTCTTGTATCACTTCCTGTCCATAGAATGGACACTCATTCTTGTGATATTTCCAGTCATTCTTCTGACACTCTTTACCGCAATAATACATGTGAAGACATTTCGTACATCTCTTCAATTGATCCGATTGTTTGAAACAATTGTCACAATATTTGCCTTTGAATTCCACATCCAATACATGAATGAGTGGCAAGTTTTCGGTTATCACATCTCCCGGTGATAACGGTTTCGACAGTTTTGGTGACATTTCTGGCCATAGATTTCATAATAAATTAAAAACACGTTTTTTAAAGAGTGTTTCATATCTTACCACAGATTTGATTATTTGATCCGTTTGTGTGATATCTTGTGACTGACTTTGTGTTGGAAGCGATTGACTTATGGTATGAAAGAGTTGTCCGTAAAGTGTGTCTCAGTTTATGGACTGATCTGTGGATTAATGTATGAAAAGTGAGAATAAATGTTGACTGAAAGCAATGAACACATGTATAAAACCTATGACTTATTAATAAGTTATTAATATTAGCCATAATTTGAACGCGAATTTCAAACAAATATTGTATTAAAATGTAGTTTTGATATTGAATTTATTTATTGCATAATATAGATAATTAATTGTATCATTTAATTACAAAACATGTTTTGTCGTGATTTGTAAGCGATTGAAAATTTTAAACTAACTGTTAATAGATTTTAAATTTTATTGACTTTACTGTTCATTGAATACTGTATTGTACACAGCAGTAGGTAATTCGGGGGCCAGTTAATTCGGGTGTAGGCGCAATGCTTACCTGCAATGCTTCAATTTAGCTATTTTTCCACGATTTTCCAGCATTGCAGTGAAACATTGCGCCTACACCCGAATTAACTGGCCCTCGAATTAACTACTGCTGTGTATATGAGTTTTACATAAATCACAGTAATATTACATAATGTTAATAACAATAACAAGCATTTATAAAATATTGATCGTTTCGCTCCAATTGATCCAAAGTCAATGTTTGCCACGACTGACCACTTAATGGACAGTCGGCCAGAAATGTCACATCAATTGCTTTCATTAGATTAGCCTTTAGTTCATCGCAAACCGTATCGGAAATGAGTGAACAATTGATTACTTTCATTAGTATTGCGCTCATATAAAATGTCTTCTGCGGGTGATATTCACCGTAAACCACATGCAATTCAATCAACGCTTGACTTAAATAATGCATTAATTGTGTGCCTGAAGTGAAATCGTCGAGAGGCAGGAATTCCATCAATTTTGAGTTACCATAATCTAAATGTCGGTCCAAATGGTGGACACATTTATCGCACTCGCAGTCAATTGACCACAATTTCAGCGCTTTCTGTCTGTCGTCACGGCTTTTACTTAACGTCACGAAACTTATGGTAATCTCTTCGCCGACAGCTATCGGTCTCATTGCCCGCAATTGTATCGATAGGTCTATCATTGAATAATTGTCAACAAAATGGTAATTATTATCGGATTAGATATCAAACCTTTACCGACGAGAAGATAAGCGCTGTTGGGTTGACAGCTGTGGCCGAGTGTTAAGTACTGGGCGTACAAACCGGCGCCGATTGCGTCAATCTCTTCCCGTATATACCGATCACCGGATTTGATAGCAATGAGAGGAATAGTAAACAGAAGTGCCAACCAATGCCGTACTTCTTGTCGATCGCAACCAATGTTTAATTCACTCAAATCATCGCAAATCATATCCAAAAGACGGCATTTCTTATCGTCGTTAATGGCCTTCACTTCAATGTCTCTAAGACTGACTTCCGATCCGTCAAACAATCGGTACTTTTCTGTGGCAAACGTTGGGATGTTTTGCACCGAAAGGTAGAGTCGGAACCAAAAGCGCATCCAATCATCTGATATGAAATATTGGATCGATTCGTGGTTAAGCAGTGGACACTCATTCTTGTGATACTTCCAGTCATTCTTCTGACACTCTTTACCGCAATAATACATACGAAGACATTTCGAGCATCTCTTCAACTGATCCGATCGTTTGAGACAATTATCGCAATATTTGTTTTTGTATTTATCATACAATATATGAATGATTGGTATGTCTTGAGTGATCACATCTCCCGGTGATAACGGTTTCGACAGTTTTGGTGACATTTCTATCTATAGATTAAATTATAACTGAAAAACACGTGTTTTAGTGAAATTCCTAAGACTTACCACTTATTGTATGATTGGATCCGATTGTGTGCTTTTGTTAGAGTAAATCATATAATTAATGGCAGTATTTATAGTAGATATAAGCGGTGACTAAAGTGTGGATCAATTTATGGACTGATCTGTGGATTAATGCGTCAAAAAGTGAGACCAAGTGTTGACTCAAACCAATCATCACTTGATTTGTGTCCAAAACCTATGGCTTATAATCACTACAATTGGCGCTCATTTCAAACAAACAGATATTTTATTTCATTTGTTTAAATCGTTTATTAATTATAAAAATACATTAATTTATTTCAATTAATTATTGGAAAAACATGTAATGATTGAATTTATTAATTAACCTAATATTGAAACAACTATAAAATTATATCATTAAATAAAAATATGATAAAAATGTAATCAATTAAACTAATTATTTGAGTATTAAAACTACTAACTATTAAAAATTGATGTAAAAATTAAAAATTTCATTAATTTAAGCACACATTTAACACATATTTTGCAGGAAAACTATCTGATAATTATGACATTAATTCAAAATTACAGCAATTGATTAAAAAAATTAAAAACAATTTATATTAATTAAAATAATAATTAAGGTACAAAGAAATAGAATCTAGATCTGAAATTATTATCAAAATTGATTTGCATATCTTTAATACTTGAGTCAAGTAACCATCACTTATGCGTGCAATCAAACCATACCTCTATGTCATAAGTGGACATAAAATTAAATTAAAATCATTGATAACTAAAGCATTGACTTTTAGGTGACAAAAACCAGTCTTAAAGTCACTATAAAAGTTACTAAAAAATGGTTAAAAAGGTGCTTAAAAGGTGCTAAAAAGGTGCTATAAAGGTGATAAAAAGTTATGAAAAAGCTATTAATTTTGCATCAAAATAATACATTCAAAGATCTATAACATTCGTTTTTGAATTAAATTGTATCACAAATTATTTTTGAGGATTTTGGTTTTGAAACTCATTCGTCGGCCGTTTAGCAACTGTTTATGAGTCAAAAAACGTTATGAAATGCCGATTATGACTAAAAACTATGAATTAAAAATTGTTATGTCTCATTTTACTTGTTTTTATTTTTGACTCATTGAGTATTTTGTGATTTATTAGTTAATCATGTATAAAATTTGAAAAATAGGCTAAAAGTTACTTAAAGTTACTAAAGGTGAGAACGTCCCAAAAGGTGCTAAAAAGGTGAAATAAAAATCTTCCA